TTCCCAAGAGCTTAGACAGATTATAACAAGTACAATGAGTTTCTCAACAGGCTAGTTATCTCACAAAAGACAGCAAAGTTTCATAACCAGCAATAAACCGACCATCACTGAGATTGTTACTGTTGAATTACATTCATCATGAAAACTAGATTAACTTGAATTTAAAGGAGTTTCATAGGGACAGCTGAATAAGTGAATAGCATTCATCCTATTTTAATCATTCATCTCTAGACTGTTATTTAACACCTAACAAATGATTACGGTCACATACTTCAAGAAACTTACGTCATACATAAAGGTGATTAATGATGAATATACGGTTGTATGTCTAACCACGTATTGATATAATCCAGGGAACCACTAAAAACCAGCTGAGAGTATTGGACAGCCGTTTAGTCCAAGTTTGAGACTAATCAGCAGTACCCACCCACTAGGGTTTGGACTTAGGTCCATCCGCCAACAAGGCAAGCTCTCAAACCACTTAACCAGTGGAACCTGACTCAACGGTCTATGAATTCTAATTTCTACCAATTTGTGATAAAATTGGCTGAACGTTACGCTAAAATCATGAGTTGTTAGAAGAAGCTTGCCTTACAACTAGAAGTTCCTGCTTCCGAACCCTGGCGAGTGGGTACTGTCCTATACTAGGACGAAACAACTGTTCGATACCTAATGGTTTTCAATGATTCCCTAAATGATACCAATCCGTGGTCAAATTTGAAACATATCGAATCCCTACAAACTAAATCTTGAAACTATTGAGTTATTTGAAACCACAAATATCTAGTAAAATGTATGAGCAGCAGAAAACTTTACTATTGGTATACATTAAACGTCAAGCTTGAAAATGAAGTCTTCCAATGTGAAGAAGCCGCACAGTGATATTCACTGAGGGGAAAATATTGATTAAAAATTGTTATACGGGCAAAACAAAGAAATATTTCTAAGGACCGCTGCAATGTTAAATTCAGGCAGAAGAAGCATCAAAGGTAGGACTTCAGGTGAACATAGAGAAAACAGAGGTGATGAAGATTCCTGGGCAACACCACCAACAGCAACAACGACAGACAACAATCAGCATAAATGGAAGGAACCTGAAAGAAACAACCTTCTTCACCTAATAACTACCTGGGAAGCATCGTTTCAACTACAGGCGGAACTGACGAGGATATCAAGGCAAGAATCGGAAAAGCAAGACAAGCTTTCACTACTCTCAAGTCTGCGTGGAGGTCAACACCACTCAGCACCAAAAATATGATCTGGAATTTCAACTCCAATGTAAAGTCAGTGCTGGTTACTATACGGATCAGAGACTTGGCGCGTCATAAAGAGCATCTCAAACAAACTACAGACCTTTATTAACAGTTATCTTCGCTCAATACTCAATATCAGATGGCCGGCCAGAAAAGATCAGCAACAGGGATCTCTGGGAGCGAGCCAACCAGGAACCAATTGTGAAACAAATAGGCAGGAAGAAATGGAGATGGATTGGCTGGCCATACTCTGAGGAAACCATCAAGTGACATCACTAGACAAGCCACTGCTCGAGTGGAACCCGAAAGGGAAGCGGCGAGTTGGTCGTCAGGGCGAGGGTGACTTGGAGGAAGTGATGTGAAGAGGAGATGAAAGCATGTGGACAGACTTGAAGCCAGGTGAAGACTCTAGCAGAGAACCGAACGCAATGGAGACGCACGGCTGAAGCCCTATGTTCCTCTAGGAATTAAAGAAAACAATAATAATATTAATTCACACATTCAGTAGTAACCCTTGTATTGTTTCACTCGAGCTTTCTCTTCACATGTTTGGACAACGCTTATATTGCAATTAACCTAATGATATTACATTCCCAAGTCCAAAAATTGGGGGAACCCCCATAACTTTCATACAAGTCAACGTTTCAGTTAAGAAAACGAAATCATATTCTCGAATTCGCACGTAAATTATATTTCAAGTAGGATAGCACTCCATATCTAAAGCGCGATTTTCCTTATATCAACAGTTCAATTATTAATCAGACTAAAATAAACCCAGCTGGGAACCTAATTATTAGGTAACCGATTCTCATTAGAGTCCACCACTAAATAACCTGTTTATTTGGAAAAAATGTTTGCAGTGATTTGGAAACTGATGGAATTTCAACACATTCTATGTTGTTAAATACATAGCGGACTGTCTGCAGGAGAATAACTATACCGTAAGAAAGTCCAAACGACAATACTACACCTTGTTTGCATGACAGCCGAAAAAAGACAAAAAATAAGACTTCTGATAAGTACTGTAGTCGGACGCCAGCGATGTCCAAGTTAACAATGTCATTTTTTAAATAGCCCAGCTGTATCTAAGTGGTCCCACGCTTAACTTCTAAACACTGAGTTGTGGATTCGAAGCCCACTTAACTTCCCCAAATTTTCGACAACTAGTTCTCATAGAGCAGGTGTGGGTCAACGACAGCCGCATGCGAATACAAGTGACTGTTAAGTAACATTTCAACTTCACAAACTTTATATCAAAAGCTTTCCATAATCACTTTTTTGAAATTGTCACCTTCCCATTCTTAACTAGAGTCGAGAACACGCTCACATATTCTTTCTACTTCAGTTTGGTTTATAAGACTGGATTTTATAATGGAAGTTAACCAAGTAAACTTTCAAGGGAAGGAAGCTGGTTACGAACCTGACTTCTTTTCAAGGCAAAAACTATTGATAGAAAAAGCAAATTATGTGCTTCCCCTAGTATGAATGCCACGAACAAGCATTTATAGAATTGTATCCAAATACATGGCTTGCATGGAAGAACATTAGGTGCAGCGAGACTGCTTCACTAACTTTCCCTGATTAACTTGAACACAAACTCAAAAAGTCCCTCCTTAGTTCGGTCTATAGCTCATGATGTAATAAATCTTATTATTAAATGTAAACATTGACTTTTCTTATCCTAATTAGTTACATCACTGAGGAACGTGAAGGAAAAAAACCTTCACAGTCTGAATTTCATAAAATGGGGTTCGTTCATCATACTGAGCTCATTTTGTTAGCGTCTGGTTACTTAAGTCACTGAAACCAAATTAAGTACTTTAATCACCCAAGTTGTAAGCAGATAACAAAATACTAACATTATATATATATATATATATATAATATATATATATATAAACTTTATCCTGCTCTAAAAGTAATCATAACTTTCTACTTTCAGGCTCACCTCGGATATCAGTCAAATAAGAATGGTGTTACAACTCAGTTATTTAAGACAGACTTCTTACATAGCAGGCTGACGGCCGCATCTATTGTTTCGGCTGATGACAAAATTGTCCAAGCAGATGATGACCTATTCGGATCCACAGTGTATGACTTTTGAAAGCCGTGTTACAATCATTGGGCCCTATCCTCAGTGAAAAAACGACCGCACCAGGAAACGGATTAGAATGGTTGCGATGCATAGCTACTTCGCCACCGATCTATATAACCGATTCTAACTAAAGTGTAAAACTTATAAAACCTAAGTTATACTATTATTGTTTGCGCCTTATCCAACAGAAACTTCATTAACAACCGATATAAGCATGAAATTGCACAGGATGATACTGATACGCAAAACGTCGCACCGAAGTGACTCTAGTTGCCACACTCTATATAGCACAAGAACGTAGAGAAATTAAAACAACCATATTTAGCCGTAGTTTCGGAAAAATAAATACATAAAGTATAATGACAGTTAAATGAACATAGAAAACCACAAAATGCATCCACACCACTGAAAGATGTCCACGACAGTCTCAAGCCGTTAGGTTTTGGCGTTTCGAGGTTTCAAACATGGCAGTATGCACTCCAGCCAGCAGACAGGGACTTCATGGACTGACGACACGTCTTCACCCCACCATCACCAACTATTGCAGTCATATCCTGTGTTGACTAATATTGCTCGGCATGCTTAGCACGCGTCCTAGCCATCATAACTAATGTAGCTTCCCAGACTCAGACTGACTTGCCCTCCTAACCTAACACTTCGCATAACCTCCCACAGGCATGATAGGGAGGGATAGGGAATGAGCTAGGCATGGTAATTCTAGAACAACCACACAGTTCAGTCTAAGTACCTTGAGAGGCACCAAAGCTCACTTTCAGGATTCTCGGGTTGATGATTACAACTTTCTGATAGACGATGACACCGTTTACCATAATGCAATAGCTATTTAGGACAGTCATAAAATGGCTAAGCGGCTAAAAATATACATACATAAAAGGTAACGGGACGCAATTGGATCAGTTTGTATATCAGTATTTCGGACATACATATATTAGGGACTTGGAAGCAGACCTATTTACACACATTTCTAGTATTAGGAGAACTCCTAGATGGAAACCAAAAGCCAACACTTGACAGATGCAAGACATGTGGCAAAAAGTGTTAAAATGCCTGTTTCACACTAGTTACTAAAGCATTTCCACATCCTGCCTCATTTTATTTCACGAGATAACGATTACAATCAAAATACAGCAGTAAACAGTTGAGACATTAGGAGCAGCCTACGATTTAGTTCGGAAATATTCCTGTTGTTTGTCTAAGTAGTATTAGAGAAACCTTGGTACACGTCCAAATGTAGTTTGCATTACATATTCTATAGACATAATCCGCTAGCAGAACACTCAGTCATTTGTCACAAGGTTTGCATGGAGAGTACTTATCTTAGAGTAGTCCATACCAAAGTTTAACCGTGTGAAATACCATTTTTAGATAAAAAAATATCAGTTCCATACCCCCGGATGACTGCACGGTCTTTCGATTTTAAAACGTCGAAATTATAAATGGACTATATGTAATCATCTGCATTCTCAATACCTTATCAATAACAGGCCTACAAAGCCAGTGCACAAACGCTCGCCAAATAAACATGGTTGTGGCACTAATAACTATTTACGACCCACTATATCCATTGTGCTAGACCAGTCCTTTCGTAAATACAGCATGAAATAATTCTTTTGTTGAATAAGCTACAGAAATGTGACTCAAACAGGTTTTATTTAGCCTGGAAGTCATCCAAACCAAAAACACCACAGTTTATGCTTTGTGAGCAGAAATTCAGCTAACAGTAAACATCGGTTTTGCCATGGTAGAGCAGTTAAATAAATTTATTGAGAAAACTCTATATTTATAACTTAATCTTCAACTTGACATACAAAAGACAATAACCACAGAGAGAAATTATTATGCATGTGTCCAGCATTCAATTAGGCTAACTTAAAGCAGAATATGCATTCATACTGAACAGTTAATAAACATGACATGATCCACTGGCTAATTGACAGTGGCAATCACTTACAAAAAATGAAAGAAATCAGTATGTACTAGCCACGTCCAAAATTTGAGAAGAATCAGCTTCCGCTGGACGTGCATGATTTGGAATGGACTGTTTGGTCAAGTATAAGGATAAATGAATATCAGCAAGACAACTGAGTGTATGCTACAAAGTGTCACTGAACAGATTTCACAGACGACATAAAATCAATGGTATGTTGATAAGTAAGTCAAAAGAGATGGTTCTGAAGTAATTTGATAATGGACGACAGCAGAGTAAGTAGGACACTCGAGGTAAAACATATTACTTTGTAGACAAGATAAGTGCAACAATTAATCCATATAGACCAAGGACCTCAGCGAAAATAAGAATAAGCACCATCCCAACAAACAGCCTTGACTGTTGAGCGGTGCCTCGAACTCCTGCATCACCGACTATACCTATTGCGAATCCTGCACCAAGTCCACTGAGTCCAACGCTCAAACCGGCACCTAGCTGGTTTAAAGACCTATGTTCAAGCATAACATAACTACAAATCTTGGACCTACACATCAAGCTTTTTCAAGTCCTGGCCACGTTGAACTATGAGAACTGCAACGACAAGACCATAAATGGCTATGATACCAGCCATAACAACAGGAATGATGGATTTTATGATCAGCTCTGGCCTCATCACCCCCATGGAGCATATCCCAGCACCGGACTTTGCAGTTCCATAGGCAGCTCCCAAGCCTAAAATAAAAGATGGGCAAGTAACCGAACTTACAACAAAAAACGACAGCGGAAACTGCACCGATAACACCAAAAAAGGGAGCATAGATAGGATCCGCCTCAGACATTTTACAAACAGTTCAAGTCAACAGCGCTCACAAATATGGATACAGAGCGCAGTAAAACAACTGCCAAGGCGTCTTTTAAAAAAACTAAAATCAATTAACAAAGGTGCTAAATTGTTGGATAATTTGTTGAATACATCTCCGCATTCATCTTATCCAGAATTTAGAGTACACTGCGCAGTATTACAGGATGCTTGAACTCGAGACATTAAGGACTATTATTATTATCATTATTATTATATCATTATTATTCCCTTGTCTTCCAAATGTAACATAGGGCTTCAACAACACATATCCACTTTGTCCTGTTTTCTACCGTCTTCTTCAGCTGGGTCCACGATTGCCGATAATCTCTCATCTCCTCCTCACACGATCTCCTCCATGTCACCCTCGCACTGACGACCTACTCGTCGTTTCCCATTTATTTTATTTATTTATTTGATTTACAGCTTGATTCCACACTGTATTTTCAGTACAAGTGTGGAATTTTCAGCATGGATATCGGTAGCCCGAATTCAGGCTGACCATACATATCGGGTGTGCGCCGGCAGGGGATCGAACCCCGGACCATGTGCATGGTCGGCGAGAGTCCTAACCACTGTGCCACCGACGCACAATTTGGATTCCACTCGAACAATGGCCTGGTGTGCGGTGTCATTCGGCGGCCTCCTCATTGTATTCCCAATCCATCTTCACTTTCTCCTACATATTTTTTACCGATCGGCTCTTGGTTTGTTGCCAGCCAGAGTTTCTTGTTGCTTATTCTGGCCACTTGATCTTCAATATGGAGCGAAGGCAGCTGTTGATGAAAGTCTGCAACCTGTTGTAAATCCTTTTTGTGACACGCTGGTCAAGTTTCTGACCTGTATAGAAGCATTGGCTGACTTCACATTGGTGTTGAAAATCCAAATCTTGCTCCTTATGCTCAGTGCGGAAGATTTCCAAACAGGTTTCAGGTTGATGAAGGCGTATCTTGTCTTTCCGATTCTGTCTTTAACATCTTCTTTCGTTCCGCGTGTGTTGAGGTTTTTCTAGCAGTTTGAAAAATTTAGTGGTGTGGGGTTACCAGCCCTTGGTATAACTTCCCCCTACTAATAATCCTATTCTGGGGCTAGAAAAGTGGCCGATCCCCTAAAATCAGTATTTTATTACTCAATCAAATGGAATTATGTGGCCGTGAATTACTACCAAAGCCAAGCATATCGTTGTTCTTCCCACTAGGTCTAAACCAACATAGCAATTTCGCTCTCTCTTGTGGAGACAAAGTTGTCTGATTGTTACCATGATTTTAATTATTTTCGTCACGTAGATCGTGCCTTGATGTTCTATCCCAATTCTTATGTTCGCTAACTGAAGGACTACGCGAGCCTCCTGAAGTCAAACCGAAATCTTTTATCACTGAAGATTTAATCAGCGTACACCTGTGAATTAGTGAAAACGGTAATTACTATATTCACAAAAAATAACGTTAGTATTCATTCTTCGCTTTCATTTAGAAAATGGTGTCAGTAGACGACCTCCTCAGCATTTGTCTCATCTATAACCATGTCCTCCTGCATATTTATCCCTCAGTAGACCCTTAGCTGGTTCTCTGATAGCGTTCGTTGTTGTATACCGTTTATAGTTGTCTGTCTGATCTTCACTTTGAAGCTACAGCAGGTGTTGATGTGGGTTAACAATAGGCTGTTAGAGGTCCCTTTTATAACTCATGAAGTCTTTGGATCATACAGAAGGATATTCGGATCTCGCTTCCCATGCCAAAAGATGTATATAACCACGGAGGCCTCAGAATAATGAAGTTATGTCTCGCCTTTCTGAATCTGCCTTTGGCACCCACCCGTGCCATCCGTTGCTGAAACAATGTTGCTTAGGTAAGTTAAGAGGGAGGCTTCCTTGAAATTTCTTGTTGTTATTCAAGTATCTTCATCACCTGCCTTTTCCATGTTCATTTGAGATATGACCAGTTACTTCATGATTGGCATTTTTGAAGCTCTTTCAAATTCCATGAAGTTTAGGTAGAGAGTCCCGTGCGGAGCTTAGCATACGGAGCAATTTTAGTCACTCCCCAAGTTGCTGGGGATGGACAAGTGCATAGTTACCCTCTGGTTCCAACCTAGGCTTTGATTCCCCTCTATGTCAGTCTGACAGACTGGCCTTTCTACCAGTCAGCGGGAGCCTTTCTCTTCTTCCAAACCTGAATTAGTAGTGAGACCATGCCTTCATGACCTCTGATTTTTGCAGAGGATTGGTGTTTACTAGAAATCTTGTCTGATCATGGTACTTCCGGACGATCTGTAGGTGGTTAAGAGTCTTTCGAAATGATTAGTCCAGCACCTCCTTCGTCCTGCTTCTTTGGCGAATGGGCCTCTACCATAATCCTCATTCTATCTCGTCAGTGCTGATCTCTTCCTGGAAGTCGACCTGGTTGTTTGATACAACACGGTGAAGTCTTGTCTACCAGCAGCATGTTCTGCTCCATTTTCCTACCTCTCTTTGGATTGCCTTTTGGCCTTCTAAGCACTCTCCACTCTGCCGTTCAGTGATCTGCAGACTGCATTGAGACTGTCCCCCGGTTGTTCACCTCTGCTTTTATTCTTCTTACGCCTAATCACTCTCCTATTCTCTGCCAGCCTCCATAGATGGCCAATCTTTTTCCTACTACACCTTAAATACGAAATATGTGCAGGTTCCTTCCCAAGTAGCTTTTGCAGCTCGTCGATGATGTTTCTCGGTGTCTCTTACATTTTCCTGATGGCTGCAGTAGGGCGATCACTTGCGGATTAGTCCAACAGCCTTTAGTTGCCAGATTTTAGTTGTGACCTACCTACAGTTTCTCTGACACCAATCCTCCAACAAAAGGTGGAATATTGAGTGTATTCAAGCTACTGAAGTCTGAGGAAGCAGAACTAGACGTAATCTCCTCTGAAGCACTGAAGCCGAGTCCAGAGACGGCAGCAGACATGCTGACACCATTGCTTCAGAGGCTTGGGGGGAAGAAAAGATCCCTGCTGACTGAAAAGAAGGCTGCCTTGTCAAGCTACCGAAGAAAAGTGGTGTAGGCTTCTGCAAAAAATGGCGTGAACTCACGCTGTTGTCCGCTCTGTGTAAAGTACTAAGTTGCCTCATCCTGGAGAAAATAAAGGATGTACTGGACACAGAACTCCGCCTACCAGGACAAGCTGATCAATTAGCAGCTCTACGCATCATCGTCGAATGAGGCATAGAATGGCAGTCAAACCTCTACTTCAACTACATCGACTTCGAAAAGGCCTCCAACAACGTTGACCGAGGAGTAATTCTGAAACTACTTCAACATTACTGTGTTCAGTGCCCAAGTCTTCATCAACCTCATTGAACAGTTGGCTATTTGACAATGCCACGTGTCAGGTGATCCACAACGGGGCACTCAGAGAGTCCTCTGAAGTTGATTCAAGAATAAGGCAAGACTAGCCTACTATCTCTCTTGATGATATTTCTAATTGTGATGGATTGGATTATGCAGAGGACTGTGAGGAGTGAGAAGAGAAGAATACGCTGGACTACTGATAAGAAAAATTTGGATTTCGCAGGTGATATAATGTCACAGACTCGAAAACTTGCAGGCGAAAACCAACAAGCTGGCTGAAGAGGCAGGCAGGAAGGATAGGACCGCAGGTGAACATAGAGAAGACGAGGGTAACTAACCATCACCAATAGCAACAACAACGACGAGCACCAATCACCATGAACTGGAGATATTTGACAGAGGTTTCTTCCTTCACCTATCTAGGAAGTATTGTTTCAACCACAGACGGTGGCATGGATGAAGATCCCAAAGCCAGATAGGATAGAAAAGACAAGATACACCATCACAAATCTGAAATCAGTTTGGAATTCTACATTCAACATAAGGAACGAGACTTGGATTTTCAACACTAATGTGAAGTTAGTTCTTCTATGTGGGTCGGAAACTTTCACTACTCATCAAGAAGAGCATTCTGAAAAGCTAGATGCAGCCTTTCATCAACAGCTATGTTCACCGTATATTGAAAATCAGGTGGTTGGCAAGAAAGAATTAGGAACAAGAAACTATAGGAACAAACTAAGAACCTATCGTTCAAGAAATAGGAGGAAATGGATATGAATTGGGCATACGCTGAACAGACCATCGAACAACATCGCGCGCAAGGCCCTCGAGTGGAATCCGAATGAGAAACGACCAATGGTTCATCCTAGGGTGAAATGCAGGGGATCATGAGTGAATGAGTTGTGACATTATGGGCAATCTTGGTCCCGGCTAAAGGGGACAGCAAAAGGTAGAACAAAGTGGAAATGGGCTGCTGAAGCTCCATGTTCCACTCGGAACACAAGGGAAAAGTAACGATAATATCTGTGGCTCCTATGGAAGCTTTCGAATTGACCCTGAAGGTCTTATTTTGTAATAATCTGAACTTAATTTCCATCCTCCCGATCTTATGTTCAGACTGAAGACTAGCTTTGCTACTCCAAAACCTTTACGCTCTCTTTGTTTACTTCAGGTTGTGAATTGATCCTTCGCTGATTCGACTGACGTTAAAAATCTGGGAAATGTTATTTTACGGTTGATTTACACTTGAACCGGTTATTCTAAGGATTCCAGTTCATTTATCTGTGTTGAAACTAACCCGAATTCCTTTGTATTATCTGGCTTTTTATGGTCCAATAAAATACTTCAACTAACATAACTATCATTATAATTACTATTCCCTTGATTTCTAAGTACAACATTTGGCGTATAAAGCACATCTGCGTTTCTCTCTTTTCGCTGCGTTCCTCTTCAGCTAGTTCGTAAAATTTCATCGCTTAGCATGAGTCCCTTCTTGTCACCCTTAGACAATCTACCCGTCGTTTCTCACTCGGGGTGTACTTAGGAGACTGGCGTGCGACGTCACGCGATAGTATCCTCAGTATTTGTTCAATGCATCCCTATTTTCTTCTGTATATTACTTGGGTAATTGGTTCTTGACTAGCTCGTTCCCTGAGTTTTTCCTGCTAATTATTTCTGGCAAGCAATCTTATCTTTAGTACGGAGTTAACGAAGGG